CCTAAATATTATAAATATATTTTTATAAATTATCTTTATGCCATTAATTAAATGATGTACCATGTAATGTAAAAATAATTCACCTTTTCCTAAATAAGCTCAAATTAATGAACCAAGTAAACACAGAGTGGACAGGTATTTAAAATGTTTCACGTAATTTCCAGCGTTGGCTGTAAAATAGTCTGACTGCGTATTCATAGCCTCTTCAAAACGTGTACTTTGTTTTCTGAACTAATCCATTAACTGCATAAACCTATTCTGTGCATATTAAATTGGAGGAAAACTTTCGTTGGACTTCGAACCGTGCTATTACCTCACAGTAATTTTTATCTTGTACGGTTTTGAGATAAGGTTGTACGGTAATTTAGAGCTTTGTTGAAACGATATTCAACTAGTACGTCAGCAAAGTTGTAAGACAGATTACGTGTTGCTTTTAATTTACCCTGAAAAGGAAGCGGGTTCAAAGTTTTAACGGCGTCTCGAATTACGTTCAGAAATGTTAAGTGAAGAATGCAAATTTTAAACTATAATTCTTTGGGCATTAAAAAGGTGAGAAATATTTAGTTTTATTTACTATATTCATAGTATTTTAGTTTCCTTCCTATTAATTAAATTTGTTATATCTTGATAATTTCCAGAATTGGTGGATTCTAAAAAACACATAACAAATATCACATAAACATGCATCGAGTGCATCAACAGAGTAACAAAAATGTCACTTAAGTTGTCATAAAGACTGCAATGAATTTATAAAACATATGTATTCATAAAGTCAAATACAGCCTATAAAGCGTGGTAGCACCATGCAGCTGCTATAGTATGGTTGTAGCATGAATAGGGCGGCTCAACCGGAGAAGGACCACGCTCTCACAGAAACCAGCATAAAATAGCAGCTCAACGCTGCTGTCTTTCGTATAGTGAGTGTAAGAACGGGAGACCCTTTTTAATGAATACGAAGCATTCCATCTAACTCCTCAGGGGTGACAACGCATCTGCATTTTGATTCTTAATCTAGTATAGATGTAAATGTTTATGGGCCACAGCATCAATTAGGTGGGCTATGTGTTCGATTGTGACCCTAATTCTATAAAAAAGCATAAATACCACCACTGGACACATGACTCTTCACATTTCTGAGAGGGTTATTGATCAAGGTCTAGGTGAGCAAGGTAAGTTGTATTTTATTCCTCGGACTTAGTTTCCTCAAGATGATTCCTTCACCACAGTGCACATGGGAAATTGCAATAAAAACATGCGTGAGTGTCGTGGAACACTCGGTTGGAACCGAAGTTCCATTCCTAGTATATTATAATTGATAAACTTATAATATAATTGATGAACAAATACAAATAAATTAATTACTAGCGTCTATTAAAATGAAGCGTCATTTAAAATAAAATAATATTTCTTTCATGGCAAGATAAGAAAAAGTGCGAGGGAGATGGATAATGTTCCATCTAGCTTCCTTGTAGCCGCCAAGGCCGTCTACTACACTATGTAAGAAGGGGTCGTGACGGAAAAATCTTACACTTTTTCTCGCCTAGCCCCCATCCGCCCGATAAGAAACTTTGTTCCTACAATAACTGCCCGACCTGCCAACCGTGGCAACTATGACAAAATCCCTATGGGGCAATCTACGGGGAAGGCCTATTTTCAGCAGTGGACTTTTGATAGTCTTAAATGGAATAATGCATTATTATAGTCTTTGCGTTACAGCATGGTGCGGGTGACAGCTTACACTTTTGGCGTATCTAGAGATGGATTAACAATGTTAGGAGATTAACAATGTTAAATCGATTTAAAAAGGCGATTAACGATGTATCGATGTACAGAAACATATATTTCATTATAAACTACAATGCATGTAAAAGTAAGTTAAAGTTTAATACAAATTATGACATAATAATTACGTAATAGCTGTTTCCGGACCTCGCCCGCGTGGTATTTATTACAATTGGATTTCTATTTATTTATTTATTTTAATTTAAAAATCTTTATTTCACTTAAGATGTACAATTGGCGGACTTAATGCCTTTAGGCATTCTCTACCAGTCAACCACGAGCTAAGCAGAGAAACTTAAGCAGGTGTCATAAAAACTTGAATGTACGTGAATTTAAATATAAACATATACATACTATACTTGTAAATACAAAAATAAATATATATATATAACTACAAATAACCTAAATAATATACTCTATACATGATATATAAACATACATAATTTTAAACAATACATACATACATTTTAAGCATACTTACATACAAACATATTATACAAAAACAACTTAAGTAATTTATAAAACACTTATACAGAAACATTTAAATAAGAAGATCAGTTGCTGAAAGAAGAAAGGTAGTGATCAGTCACCATTCTTTTAAAGGCTGCAATAGAAGTCGGTTTCCTGAGGAGGTAATTTATTCCATAGCCTTATGGCCTCAGCGGAGAAAGACCGAGACATAACGCCAGATTCTATTAATTATTGTAAACTCCTTCTTACCCTTAAACACTACTCTTCAAAGGGACTCCAGATTTCGTCACTTATGCAAAAATACCGAACTGCTGTTTCATGATATTGTTTGTGAGAGCGTGCTCTCTCTTCAATCGTGTCGACCCATTATTATAGTGCATAATTACTGTAATCTGGAGTGGGTAATTAGCTTTGAAGCAAAACTGGGAATGAACTAAAATATTATTTTCCACTTGAACCGACTGCAAAAAGGAGGTACTTCTTAATTCGTCGCAATTTTTTATGTTTATTAAGCGATAAGGAGCGACTAGGAAATAAACAGCAGCATCTTCCTGATATCAACTGAATAACAAGTGGTAAAATTAAAAAAAATTAAGACTCAAAAACTACTAGCACACGAGTAAAGAAACCGTACAGAGGCAAAGCTTCTAAGGAGCTGTACCAAAATTTTAAAATATTTTTGTAGGGTTGGCACAGGAGGATAAAATTAAATAACAAAGCGTTTATCAGCTTTTATTATAATACTTAATGCATTATATTTTTGCACAAACTATTTTTATTCTATATATTTTATTTTTTACTATTTTTGTTCTTAAAAAATTTGTTGCGCCTTTTAATTAAATGGTAAATCTAAATCTATTTTTTTTAAATAATCTATTGGAAAGCACTCACATGATATAACGAATATACAATCTTCCACACGTTTTAACATTTCATTACCAATTTTTACATTGTTTCTTTCGAGATGAAAATTTGCGAGATTTTTGCTCAAACAATTCATACATTTATTTCAGATACATTCTTACATTGACTGGAACTCGAACGAGTATCGTCATTTGTCGGCAAATTGAGCGTTGGAAAAGCATTTCCAAATAAATATTTTACGGTCCTTTTTTAATTTAATACAGGATTTTTCGAAATAATTCTCACAAATTTTATAATCAAAAAGTTTTCTAAGGATATCTTTTCTTCCGACTGCTTTTAACTCTTGTCGTCTAAAATAATAAAAAAAACATGACCCTATGTATTTAACTTATAAACATAATTATTCAATTATAAACATTATAAAAAGAATGGTAGAATTAAACACAAAATCTTTAATAAAACTGCTTAGCCTCTTTACAATGTTTATCCTCGTCACCACAGACTACCCACACCCCTTGTCATGCCATGACTTAAAAACTAACATAAACACAGATTAAAAATAAACTTTCTCCCACACGGCCGTCCTGATCATTCATCTGACTCAGATGAATATTTATCTACTTCTTCATCAACCCATGGCTTCATGAGATCAGCCGAGGTTGTTGTGTTAATGGGCCCTTCGCATTCAGCGTACCTTTCATGATGCTTTTTGGCTGTCACTGCGTAAGGTCCTAGATACTTACTTTATTTACTTCCTTGAGTAAATTGTGTTCGTTTAATAGCAACCAAGTCGTTAACTTTGTATTCGGTAGCCTTTTTTCTTTATCTATTATAATTTTTAACGTTCTCTTCTTGGATCTTTTGTATTGACTCTTTTTCCTTTAATCTTAGTTCATTCCTTTGCTCATTATAGTTCTTAACTTCTTCTTCTTCTATTAATTTCATAATTTCTTCATTCTCATCTTTCATTTTGGTTCCAAAAAGTAACTCAAATGGAGTCATTCCGATACTTCTTTGCCATGTACTATTTAGACAGCGTTGTAATTTGGAAACTTGTTTATACCACTTCGTCGGATCATCAGCGCTCAATTTACTTATAACACTTATTATGATTTGGTAGATTCTTTCTACTTGCCCGTTTCCGCGGGGTTGTCCTGTAGTAATTGTACATACATACATATACATAAACACTCACGCCTGTCACCCAGAGGGGTAGGCAGAGACTACGGACTTCCATTTGGCGCGATTCTGACACACCTCTCTCGCCTCTTTTACATCCATATATCTACGCATACACGCTCGTCGGTTTAGGGTACTCCTAATCTGGCCCATTTGTAATGTATCGCCGATTTGTTCGATAAACCTTCGTCTAGGGCGTCCCTTCCCAACCCTGCCGTTCACTTCTGCAACATAAATTTGCTTTGTCACTCTTTAGTACTGTACTCTGTAGTAATTGTATAATGACTTATGCTTTCTTGTTCACAATAGTCTTGAAAGTCTATTGAAGTAAATGCGGCGTTACGATCGGAAATAATCCTTTGAGGGGAACCAAAGGTTTGTTGTTGCACTCTCAGTTTGTCCAACGTTTCATCTGTGGACAAAGATTTTGTAGGATAGATCCAAGTAAATTTGGTAAAGCCATCAACTACCGTAAAAATATACTTATAATTTTTATTAGTAGTCGTCAATGGACCATGATGATCAATATGGTACGTCGACAACGGGGCATCACCCTTATCTAATGGATGTAAGAATCCTTCTTTCTTTCCTTTTTTCTGTTCAATCAGAATACATTCTACACAATTATCTATAACTTTTCTAATCTTCTCCTTCAGATTCTCAACATAATACTCTCGACTCACAAGCTCTTCTATTTTTCTAACTCAAAAATGTCCATAATCATGCTTCTTCCTTATTACTTCGTTCTGCATTTTCTTTGGCACTACAATAAGTCTTGTACCATCTTTCTCCTTGCATAATATTCCTCTTTCCATAATATAGTTTTGATAGGGTTCTTTTTCTAACATTTTCTTTAACAGACTGATATGAGGGTCGTCGTCTTGAGCTCTCTTCAAGCGGGCAGCAGCTTCGGTAAGTATCAAGCAGACAGGGTTCCGGCTTAGTGCGTCAGCATGTTTAAGTCTTGATCCTGACCTGTGTTCTATCTCATAATTATACTCTTCTAGGAGCAGAGTCCATCGAGTAAAACGTGGAGGTAAGTCTTTCTTCTGTAATGTTTTAGTAAGAGCAGAGCAATCTGTAATGATTTTAAAACGAATTCCTAGTAGATAGACACGGAATTTCTTGACAGCTTCAACAATCGCCAGTATTTCCAAGTAATAGCTGTGATACTTTCTTTCAGCGAATGTCGTTTTTTTGCTCATGTAGTAGACTGGATGCATTTGATTATCTGTAGGACTTTTCTGTAACAGAACGGTGCCATAGCCTTCTGCGCTAGCACCTGTGTGTAGTTCTGTTGCTAGCTCTGGATCATAAATCCGTAACACAGGTGAACTACACAATATTCTTTTCAATTTATTGAAAGCCATTTTGCACTCTTCATCAAAATTGAATTCAACGTCTTTCTTCAATAAATTGGTAAGTGGTTTTGGAAATATAGAATAATTTTTGATGAACTTTCTAAAATAACCAGACAGTCTTAAAAAAGACTGTAAAGACTTGATGTTATGAGGGGTTTTAAATCTTGATACGGCTGAAATCTTTTCTTTTGACGGGCGTAATTCATTATTCCGTATTATATAGCCTAAATATTTTATCTCCCTCTTCATGAAGTGGTATTTCTTCCAGTTAAATAAAAGACCGTACTCTTCAGCTCTGTGGAACACTTTTACCAGCTTCTCCAATCTTTCTTCTTCTGACTCCGAGGGTAAAATCAAATCATCCAAGTAGGCAAGGACAGTACCGTCAGAAATAAGATCTTGAAAGACATGGTTGACATATCTTTGGAATACTGACGGCGCCGTAAAAAGACCGACCGGCATTTTCATGAATTCATACTGCCCTTGCGGAGTTACAAAGGCCGTAAACTTCCTGCTTTCTTCATGCACATTCACATGTATAAACCGTTCTTCAAATCTAAAGTCGTGAAAACTTTTGCACCCTTCAATCTATCAATCTGATCTCCTATAAGAGGTAACGGGAAACGGTCTTTCACTATTCTTTTATTCAACTTTCTATAATCTATACAAAGTCTGTATGTTCCATCTTTCCTTTTAGCTAGAAATACAGGGCTTGCAAAATCTGATTTGCTGGGTCATATAATCTTTTGGTTTAGCCATTCTTTTATTTGTTCATCAACAAATTTCATTACCAGTGGTGACAATCGACGTGGACTTTGATGGATCGGGTCTTCTTCGGTAAGTATTATTTTGATCTCAACGTTACTTTCCTTCTTTTTAGCATCAGTTTTATATTCTTCAATTAGTGTTGTAATCTTATCTGCAATTTCTTTATTTTCAGGGTATTGTTCATCACAAATAGTGTTCTTCTTTTCTGCCAATAGTGTAAGGTAAGAAATCTTTTGAAGGAAAATACCATCACGAGTAAAGTTGATTTCAAAATCTTTGAGGATAGGATTTCCAAGTATGACACTGACTGGTATAACATAATCTTGTACTACGTGAAATTCCAAATCAGCATAATAATCATCAATCAAAACCTTAACTTTCAGAAGTCCTTCAGTATTTAGTTCTTTTCCAGCAATTCCAGTTAGGTGTATTGATTTTTCTTTGTCATAGATAGCTTCTCTGTCATAAATTTTTCAACTTCAGATAACTTTATCAAATTCACGTCACTCTCAGTGTCAATTAATGTTGTAATTTCGACATCATTTATCTTTATCTTCTTATATGGAGTTTCTAATTCTTTGTCTTCTTTATCAGTCTTAGTTTTTGTTTCAGTCTTTTGAATAATTAAAGTCGTTTTACCTTTGTTACTACACTGAGTTCCCTTATACCCAAATTCATTGCATCGGAAGCACTTAATACCCTTCGTGCAGATGATCTAGGTCCCCGCAATTAAAACATCGCTTTATTTTATTATTCTTTGCAAATGGAGTAGATACACTGGGTCGAGTCTGGGTCTTTTCTTTAATACTTTTGTAAATATCTAATTTCTTTCTAAATTCTTTAAGTTTTGACGCGCCGTACAAAATAGATTTATTAGATTCGCTGTCTTGGATATCATCAATAACGTACTCCATAAGTGCTGCATCTTCGATGTTTCCATGTAGTGCACATTCTTTCATATGGAGAAAATACTGCTGGTAAGTTTCATCTTTCTTCATTTTTCTTGAGCTTAGTTTTTTTATGTATGGTAGCACTATTCAATTTAGATCCAAATTCATCTTCGAGTTCTTGTTTTAATTTTTTATAATCTTTTACACTTCCGAGCGATCGTAGAAATAGTTTTGCAGTTCTACTTAGGAGTCTTTTCGCGAAAATTAGTTTTTTTACTTCAGTCCAGCTCATCAACAGTGCCGTGTTTTCAAATTCTTCAAACCATGTTGAAATCGGGTAAGAATCATCACCACTAAATGACGTCATCGACTTCCCCACATCTGCAAACGAGATATAGGATGTGGTGTCACGTGATTCTCGTTCTTCTCCATCTTTAATATCTTTATTCGGCGGCATCTTGAAATGTTATACTTCAAATATAAAAATCTTCACAAGTCTTCAATAATCGTAAAATCTTCATTAAATCATTATTTTTGTTACAATAATCTTCAATCGTAAAATCCGTAAATCGTAAATCCAGTCGTGAAACTAATCTTTATCTTCTTTACATTTCGTAAAAAATAAAAAATATATTGACGTCACGAACAACGTTCTGCAGCATTCCGCTCACGCGTAGTCGGTAATGCAATGCGATGGTAGCAACGTCCCGAAGCATTCGATGCAACTCGCATTGAAAACTTCCCGCGCGCCATCTTGGTTCGTGTTGGTAAAACAGTTCACTTCTCACAATGACTCGCCGGTTTTTTGCTGATGATTTCTTCGTAAATGTTGTAATTCTTCCACACTGATACTTCTCTGGATCCCGGACGAGCCCCCAAAATAGATGTGGGATCGTCGAAGAAAAGAATGGTCGAATTAAACACAAAATCTTTAATAAAACTGCTTAGCCTCTTTACAATGTTTATCCTCGTCACCACAGACTACCCACACCCCTTGTCATGCCATGACTTAAAAACTAACATAAACACAGATTAAAAATAAACTTTCTCTCACATATACTATATATACTTACCTAGTGGAGTGTTTAGGATAATTCAAAAAATATATATTTATATTTATTCTATTATTGTTCATACAAACAAGTATATTAAAATATATTTACACGTTTTTTAATGAAACCTTAAAGGTAAGGTTACCTTTAGAAAACAAAATTTGATACTTATTATTTTTTACACAACCCTGAGTTTGAGCACTGGACGAGCCGGTTTGAAGCAGTTTCTCCCCGTACGTGACGAGCAGCGAGTGCTCACGCACACACTGGCGTCTGGATTGTAATAGTGTACCTATCATAGCGCAGTTGTATGCAGCTTTGCCTCTGTACGGTACGATTTCTTTTCTCATGTGCTACTATTTAGAAGTTGATAAAATTTATATGGAACCACATGAGAAGCAACTGCTTTCAAATAAGAAAAGAACCATTGAAATCAGCTCACTGAGAAAAAATTTATGAGGTAACACACATACAAAAACATGCAATCGAATTGAGTATCTCCTCCTTTTTAAAACCGGTTGAAAAATAAAAAAACTGCGAGTGCGACCCCGCTTGCCAATCTTAAAATGATGCCTATCTTCAACTTTAAGGTAATAGACTGTAATTGTATGGAATGTTTCAACGATGATTCTTTACTAAGATGTCAGATTTAAATGATTATTTTTTGTTAGGAAGTAGGTAAATTTGGAGTGGTCCCAATTTGTATCCAACATTTGGAGTTGGCCCATATAAATTTGTTGAAGATCTGATGATGAAATGCCATCGAACTCTTCATTTTGCAAAGGCTTCTGCATGACACACCGGCTCATATTTCTGCACCACGGCAACCGATTACGATAATTATAATTATTCTTTTTACGATAATTATAATTACTTTGAATTCGGTTTTAACTTTTTTAAATTTTATTTACCGTATTATTAATATTATAGTTTTAAAAGCTAGGTTCGATTCAACTGTTTATCATTCTAAATTTTTTAGTGAAATATTTTTAATGATCATGTATTTTTCAATATGTCAGTAATAGGATCGCGCTGTAATCCAACCTTAAAGACATTAGTAGGATAAATCTTTCCGCAGGGTCGTAATAAATCGGTTTAACGAGCACCCAGAGCCTTATTGGAAGCGAAGCCTGGCGATAAACATACTAAAAACTCTTATCACACCTGATAAGTATAATGTAACTATGTATATTGTGTAACAAGTGTGAAAATATATATTTAAAAACAAATATTTTCGTTTGGTTTCGATTCTCGCGTACACCAAAATTGTTAATTGCTATTTTAAGTACTGATTTTCTACGTGCGTCCGTGGTGAAGAAAACATCGTGAGAAAATCAGCATGTCTGACATGTTATAAAAATATTTCGAAGGCATATGAAATCCGCCAATACGAAGACGAAATAGGGTAGAGCGGCGGAGTTTTACTTGTCCTAAAACCTTTTAACAAACGACTTCAATATCAAATGAGAACATCAATGTAGTCGAAGTTTATTAAATACGCGTTATTAAGGATAATTCAAAAACTACAGGTCAGATCTTGATCAAATTTATATGGGACGACAAGCACCAGCTTTCAAATAAATAAAAATCATCAAAGTCTGTTCACCTAAAAAAAAAGTTAATATAGGCTGCAGCTTTACTATTACTATTACTTTTATTTTCGATCGAACCAAGTTGATTTTGTTTATACGAAATATTATAATAATTTATAATATTTTTATGGCTAACGAAAAACAAAACAACTCGCAAGATAGACTTAATTAAAAACGACGTTGAGATATTAACATAATAATTAAGGTAAAACGTCTTTGCTTTCAAAATATTTATTTTATAAAAACAAAGATATTTTTATCCACTTTTAACCTTCATATTTTTATTAAGAATTTATTCATATCAAACCTATACATATATTTGTACGAAACAAACATTTTAGCTATTTTACTACAATATATTAATTACGTCATTATCTGTGACAAAACGTACTTCACGCATCCGGTTGAATTTCACATGGGCAAATTAACTTAAATATTGTCTTAAGTTTTGTGTTAGAAAAGTTTTCGAGAGTACCTTGTATTGGTAAACGATGTGAAGTACGGCCCCCCATCAGCTTAAGTGACGACCTGGTAAGACTTGAAGAAGTCGACGGATGCACGTATCTTAAGATCGTGTTTTATGGTATTTCTCGGGGAACCCCATTTTTAGCAGTGACCTTTTAAAGGGCTGTGTTGTATGGATGGATTTTCTTAAGCTTAAATGAAATAATGATCTTTAGCATTTTAAAGAGAATAGTTAGGGCTATATTTCAGATTTAAAAGATAAATTTAAAGGATGCATAACAGTGTGGCGGCGCTGTGGTCTTAAATCATCGAAGTTGCCGGCCTGCTCTGGTCTAACTAGAAAAAGCTCCATATTACCAAATGGATCAATTAAATACCTGTATGGGATATCTTCCGTTTACCTAAAATGCCCAAAACAGCCTACTTTATACTTTAAAACTAACCTTCATTGTATGAATTATTCTTTAAAATAAATACTAATATTTTTAAAATTTGGCCAGTGTTTGGCAATCCTACGTGATAATACACACACCCTTACCGGCGGGAATATATTATGAATCAATTTCCACAATATAATTCACTTTAAATACACTTTTATCTATTTCTATAATGTATAAATGGAAAAGGCTTCATATGTCTGCAATTTATTACATGGCATGTAAACCCACTTCTTTTATAAGTATAGTTTGTTGTTG